CGACTTCGTCCGCGTGGAATTTAACTTCTTATATTTTAGAAAAATAAAGTTAAATTCAACACGGACGAAATCCCGTGTACAGCTAGTCATCAATAAAAAAACACGTAGGTATCTCTAATATATTATACACTAGCTGTTCCCGCGACTTCGTCCACGAGGTTTTTAACTTTATTTTTCTAAAATAAAAGTAGCCTAAGTTACTCCTTATTACATCAGCTACCTGCCAAAAAAAGTCCCGTCAAAATCGGTCCAGCCATTTCAGAGATTAGCCGGAACAAACAGACAGACAGACAAAAATTGTAAAATATGTTATTTTGGTGTATGTACCGTATTTATATTCATATGCAAGTAGTAAAAAACGGTTATTTCAATATTACAAACAACAGGCTTCAACATTCTCAAGTACCACAAAAAAGATGTTTTTTTATCAAATAAACAGTTTTTATTAAAAACAAGCTGTCCCCGCGACTTCGTCCGCGTGGAATTAAATTTATTTTTCTAAAATAAAAGTAGCCTAAGTTACTCCTTATAAATCAGCTATCTGCCAAAAAAAGTACCGTCAAAATCGGTCCAGCCATTTCAGAGATTAGCCGGAACAAACAGACCGACAGACAGACAGACAAAAATTATAAAAATTGTTATTTTGGTATATGTACCTTATATATATTCATATGCATGTAGTAAAAAACGGTTTTTTCTATATTACAAACAGACACTCCAATTTTTATTAAATGTATAGATGTATAGATTATTATTTATTTATTTATTTATTCATCCAAAATAATACAAATTGTGTAGGATAACGTAATAGTAACATTACAGTAAAATTTTGTCAACAACATAATAGCAACTTAAACATTAAATCTCGGTATATCTATAGACTAGCTGGCCCCAGCGACTTCGTCCGCGTGAAATTTTATTTTATTTTTCTAAAATAACAGTAGCGTAAGTTACTCCTTATTACATCAGCTACTTGCCAAAAAAAGTCCCGTCAAAATTGGTCCAGCTATTTCAGAGATTAGCCGGAACAAACAGACAGACAGACAGACAAAACTTGTAAAATATGTTATTTTGGTGTATGTACCGTATTTATATTCATATGCAAGTAGTAAAAAACGCTTATTTCAATATTACAAACAGACACTCCAATTTTATTTACATGTATAGATGTATAGATTAAAAAAAAGTAACAGTCATAAGGCTAGTCGTATGCCTAATATATATAATAATGTAATAAATTCATTTAAACAGAAATTGCGGGAACATTATTTAAATTTGTAACTTTTTTACTGTCCTTCTCCTTTTTTCACATCTTTCTGTTATATCCATATAGTTCTCTCTATATTTTCTGATTTTCTTACTTTCAATTTGAGACTGTACTTATAATTTGATTATCGGATCATTATGTATTTACTTATATATAATATTTATACATTTATGGGTTATATTTAGATATATATTTATGTATGTATATTGTTATTTTTTTATAGAAATGTATATTTTGCTTATCTTTATTATCTTTATAAATCTTTTTTTGACATTTCTTATTTATATTAGTGCACCGCCAATAATCTTTCGCTGCACCACTCATGGTTGCCTGGTAAATAACGCGGCAAAATATTAAGTCCGCCACATGTACAAATTTTTTTGTGCATTAAAGTTAAAGAAATAAAAAAATACAATACTGTTTAATGAAAATGCGTGTTGTCTAGTGCTTTGAGATGTATCAAAATAAGGTCAACAAAAAAGTCCGTGATGGTATATGTCTATCTCTTAAGGATAACCAACAATAACCATTTTTTATCTTTTACATTTTACGGGATTTTTTTTTATCGTATGTTTCCCTTAAAATCATGTAAACTATGTTATTATGTCATAATCTAAAGAAATAATAATATTTTATAGTGACATATCCACTATAAAATACCAAAAAGTAGCAATGTAATTCGTTACGCGCGAATCAGATGTTATAAGGTCAAAGGTCGGTGCACCCCGCGTATTTGATAAATAGTGCTTCTCTGGATGTCTTTAAGAGAAAATGGCAGTATGTACGTGTATATGTACAAGTCCTTAAGTGTTAAGTTTTTCAAATGTACATACAGTAAAGAATAAATATTTTTAAGTACAGTACTTACGTACATTAATATAATACCTACATTTTACTTGTATCTATTGTTATCAAAATTAAATTATAAGTTCTTAACTTGACCACGACTATGTGACCCTCTCTTGGCGCCAAAACGAGTGAAAAAATGAACAGCATACGACGACGACGCAGTACCTATAGAGTGGAGCAACTGCTTATTCAGTTTTATTCAACTATTTAGTCACTCCACCGTTACAATGAATGGAGGCGGATATTACAATGTACGTAGCATTGCGAATATAAAATATCTAGATTAGGTATAATAAATTCATAATTCATAGGCCGTTACGGTATCAGAGCCAAAGTCTTCTTTCTTTGTTTATGTACTGTTAGATGCGACAGCGACTTTGTTTTTATATTACTATGTAATGATTGATATACCTAAAATAAATAAAATATCTGAGGTTTGGACAAAAATTCAAAAGGTACTTAATTTTTAAAAAGTATTTTGAAAATACCTATTTTGCATTTAGTATTTGAAATACAAAACACAAAACTATTTTTGTTTTTAGAGTGACATTTCTATGAATTCACTGTCGATAGCGAGCGGTGCGATGGAAAAAGATAACCGTTTATAAAAATATAATAAATAACCCTGGACAATTAACACAGACTGATACTGAACTGATATAAATAGATATTTTTATTTTGTAAATACATATATAATATACATATAAAACATCCAGACCGATGAAAACAATCGATGACCGATGAGTACAAATGTTTGCATCGTGCGAGAAATCGAACCCGCGACCATCGGATGTAAAGCGGTGTGACCACCGAGGCAGTCGAAATATATAAATAATCTTATGAATTTAATTTATTCTAATTTGTTTATGTGCGCGGGGTGCGGTGTACGGTGCTCCCCCTGCCTCCACCGTTGCTGGAGCTTGCATGTATGGAGCATTGCGAATATAAAATATGTAGATTAGTAAATTCATAATTGATAGACCGTTACGGTATCTATATATATTCGGATTAAAATAAGTATCGCAGTAAGGACCAGTATATAAAGTGATCAACACAATTAACTGATTTTTGAAATATATATACAGAGCCAAAAAGTCTTTGTGTATTCAAAAAATATCTAATTTGTTTGTGTGCGCGGGGTGCGGTGTACGGTGCAGGGGGGACCCTGCCTCCACCGTTGCTGGAGCTTGCATGTATGGAGCATTGCGAATATAAAATATCTACATTAGTAAATTAATAAAGTCATAATTGATAGACCGTTACGGTATCTATATATATTCGGATGAAAGTAAGTATCGCAGTAAGGACGAGTATATAAAGTGATCAACATAATTAATTGATTTTTGGAATATATTCAGAGCCAAAAAGTCTTTGTGTATACCAAAAATTTAGCCGTTCGGAGCCATTCAGTCACGAATTATTAGTAAAAAAAGTGTCGAGTATATCGTACTATCGACGAATATATATGGCCACATCGCAAAATAGAATGCGACGTTGCCATACCGCCTGAGATATACGCGATAGGAGTCAAGTTATTCAGTGCAAAAGGTGGAATCGGCAAGTGTTTAGGTTGTGGCGTGATCAACAAAGTGCCCAAAGAGGTGTTTATATATATATACCTATCTACCTTTATAGACTATGTAGGTAGGTATTCTACTTATAAAAATGTTGGTCATAATGTTTTAAAATTATTTTAAGATAACATTGTTTACTAATTATTAATACATCAGTAAGTACCAATAAGAAAACTATTTAGGTATATTTTCAGCTTCAGTAAATAAATGAAGACTAAAAATCCGATCAGGTGCAAATCGGACTGCAATCTTTTGTAGCGCCAAAAATCGGTAATTCATTCTGGAACTTATAAAATGACCACTATAATAATGATAAAATGTGATGTTAGGTACTTCATTGCATGCCAGTTAGTTTAAAACAAACCTATCTAAACATTAACGTTTTATACTGTTATTGGAAATACGCTTCATCTTACTTTGAGTAGATGGTATCACTGAGATTCATAGATTGCGTCATGTATACGGCCCTTTCGTGGCTTGTATTCGTAGTTTGCACGGCCGGGCCCAGGCAGTGGTATGGGTCGAACTAAATTGCGTAGCGATAACAATATTCCTATAAACTAAAACCAGTCTTGCTCTTGAGTAGTATATTCTTTGCTTCCATCTATGAAACTATTATAGGTAGGTATATAAATGAACCCATTAAAATTGTACTTTATTCTGAGTTTTATCAATAGGACTTATTTGTGTATAAATACTTGGGTAAGTACCTACCTACGTATTACAATGTAGGTATTCTGTCTATATCTACATATTTTAGGAGAAAAGTTAATCCTACACTATGTATACCAAAGCTAGATGTAAATAGGTATCCTACCTTTTAACTACGTAATGATATTTAGCTAGGCAATGAGCTACTACGTATATACCTGCCTATTTACATATACATAGTATTATGATAAGTCCAATAAATTATTCCTTTTACCATTCACCATAATTTCATATAGCAGCTACAAATATTTCAACAATGTTTACTGTAAACCTGTAGGTATAAAAATAATTAGATACCTACCCATACAATCGCACGGATGACGATATTGTGTCCATACAATTTATATATAGTTATGTATATATGTATACACTATACATTGTTTATAGATGCTGCCGCTATAGATAATGCTTACGGTATCTATATAAAATACTGTTGGGTATGTATGTATAGAAAATTGCTATTATACGCCCGTGATAAAAAGACTCAATCCGTCCTCCATTCGTATGACAGTTGTGTTCAATATGAAAAGTTGTATTCTGTTGCTTTACGTGCGAACCCCGACGACGAAATCATTCCATCCAGCCGTCGAAGCCGTGTTCTCGGGGGTTTGGGATTGTGATTTTGTATAAATCTCTAAAGTTAATGTGCCAACAACAATACAAAACAAAGGTATGCATAAAAAGTGTTTTTGTGTAGAAAACAATAGTTGTATAATTCCGCAAATGCTTTGAGCATTTATGGCATCGCTTTCTCAGGCAAATCTCTTGTCTCGCTCTAATAACCGGAAAGTCAGAACATGGGTCATTGTCTGTCTCATTCTTTCTAGTAATATAACACCGTTGTGCTCGGTCGTGTCACGTAAGATTTTTTTTGTATTTTTGCTGGGAAAATAGATGTATTTCATTAAACATTTGTAGTGAATATTTTCTATACCTATTTGTGTCTTATGTGCAATATTCGGATAAGAAAATATATTTGCGAAACATTGAAATGGGTCGGGCTAACTTTCACTCTAGATATAGATAGGCACTGTGGATGATTATATAGATAGTTATGTATAAACGAGGCTGTAGATATTCAACATCGAGTGGTCGAGGCTCAAGGCCGAGAAATACATAAATACGTATGTGGTGTAAGAAATTAACTCTATCGGGTTGCTTTACTATGTTTTTATGGCCATATTGTGATATTTATTTTTTTCACGTACTGTGGTGTTACTGGTAAGCTTTCATGTACTCGTACATTGGTTGGTTCCAACTAAATGGCGTAGATAGGTGAATAGCAGTATCTACCTAATTATTTCGAACACCAATGTATTTTATCATTCCGAATCGTGAATATACATCTTGATAGGTATTTGTTCGATTAAGTATATAGGTTTGAAGTCCTTGAGATAACCTTAAAATTTTCGTACTTTTTTTTACTTTTGTGAAAATACAAATTTATGCACGAAAGTAACGCAATATAGTGTATATACCACAGAACAGATACAACTTTTTAACGATTATAAAATACAGAATTCTAATTTTGTAATTCTTTGTGTTCATAGAAAACATTACGAGCTGACTGCAAAGCTGCTTGAAGGATCTGCCGGGCCCGCATTATCTGTGATATACAGCTCAGCCTCTCGTCCGTCCTATAAGGTGAGTGCGTATTTATGAATTTTATCAGATTTATTATTTCCTCTAGGTAGGTATTAATGTATGGATGATAGAATGACATCATGTATTTACTTATTTGTAGTAATAGTAATATTATCCAATATGTGACAAATATAACAAAAACAATACAATTGTGTAATATATATTGATGTGCAACATTTTCATCGTCATCATTGTCATCATGACAAGGTATACTTACTAAGGTGTACAGAGCACTCCTTTAAATTTATAACCTGTATTCATTACTGCACTATCCATTTTTTTTTTAAATCACCTACTAACAAATGTTATCAAAAAGATGTTATTTAGCATTAAGACAGCCTTTTGTTTTATTTACAATCCTCTTCAATTTTCCTGTCTAGATCAGCGTTCTTTAAGCTGTGGTCCACAGAGTTGGTTGCTAGTTGACTCGCAAATATATTTATGGAACTCCTCTGTATCATATTAGTAAATGGTTGAATGGCCAAATTAGAAAATGGTCCAAAGACCATTCACTAATTCAGCTTTCGGTATTCTAGTTATATGCTATATTGTGGCTTCCGTCCCAAGGTAGCGGGTTAGATGTTTCACATAGTACAAAGGTTTATATTCATTAGTAAGATTAGGTTATTATGATGTATTAGGTTGGTTATTTTCTATGCATATTGTGTTTTTACAAAAAAAGTATTTGCATATGTTTTCTAGTATTCATAATCAAGTTACACTTAGCAGTATGGCATAAGGTACCACTTTGTGACTTGTCCGGGCTTATTATTAGTACTAATGATAAATATCATCAAATCATCATGTGTAGTAAGCAGTGTTTTTATATTAATGGAAAATTTTGCTTCAATGCCTAGGTCTATGGCTAAAATGGATGGGAAACACTGATTTAGCACAAAAATGTACATAAATAAATATAAATACAATAATTGATAGTTTTTAACTAATAAAATGGTATGTTTAGATGGAACATGTTACATTACTTAGAATTAAATTGTAAACTGTTTTTTACCGACATTGAATAAAATAGATAGGTAAAAATTTAATCCTTTGTCATATTGGATACTTTTATACTTTTCCTGTAAGTAGGATTTACTTACAGGAATCATTATTAGTTTCCACAAATTATATATGTAACACAATTGCTAGCAATCCTTGATTGCAATAGACTGTAATTGACAGTTTTGTGTATGTACATGTAAAGACATATATATATTTTGTAACTAAGGTGTATAGTTTACAATGGACACAAGTTAAGCTGCTATTTTTGTTTTACATGTACAAAAGTACATATTTTTGAATGTTATTCATTAACTTTGTTTAAATTAGGTACTAATGTATACAAATATTTGTCACATTTAAATTAAATATACTATGGATATTTACAGTTAAAAAATAAGGAAATTATGACACAATTAGACATTTGATTCATGCATAAATAAATTGAAACACTGACACTTGGTTGAGCATTTTTTTAAATTATATTTTGTTTAATTATATTGAACACTTTAAGATATGATTTAAAATATTCTACAATAGTAAAATAGTTCTTAGATATCCTTAACATACTTACACTCTTATTTATTGGATTACAATTATTTCCATTGCAAGAGTGAGCAAATATAATTTACCATTTGAATGAGCTTCAGTCAGTAAATTATATTTACTCACTTTTTCTCACTACAAAAAAAAATATGAAAAAAGTTCTTGCAATGTTGTAATTTTTCATAGTAATAATATATAAGTTTAAAAATTCGAAACAGACTTGTACATATGTAACACCTTGCGGCATTTTCAACCACAGGTTATGCAGAGAAAAATTGTAGGTGGTGCAAATATCATAAAAAGAATAAACTAAGACTATGGTACATGTATTCACATGTATACTCGACACACTCACATATATGATATATATAAAGCTATAAATATATATGGAATTTTTTTTTTGTCAAGATTTCTAGATTATTTTAAAAGCCATGTTTATAATTTACAATAGATTTTCCAAGGTCACAAGTTATAGGTTCGACACCTGATGGTAGGTCAAATAAAGTAATAAAAACATGTTTACAACCTGCACTGTAATTTATTACAATTTCACTGTACCTTTTTTTATTCTATGCAATTATGCAAAAAGAAGGAATAATGAACAAAAAACTAGTTATTAAAATTAATTTTAATTAATTTTAATGAATTATGATGAAACTTGTGATTAGGGCCTAAGGCTTCAGATAAGAACGTCGCGATTAATTGTCTGTATTGTTGTTTTTATCAATAATATCCATAATTATGATTACAATTTTCACTTCGAATAATTTGTAAATTATTTAATATAAATTATCACAGTTTTTGTTAGGTTATTCAGTTAGGAATGCAAATTAAATAGAAAATATAAAAAAAATGCTCAGTTTCTATTAAGGATTTGTTATTTTTATATTATTCATGTAGTTTATATTTTATTATGGTTTCATTTATTATTAATAAAATAAAAACCCCTTTTATTACCCAAAATATAGTATGGTCTAATAAATATAACTATAAAGCAGTTTTTATATGACCATGAAATACAACAAATTAGATGGATGTCTTTATTGGACATCCTAAATTTTATTGTCATATTTACTTAAATAAAAACTGACAGATTAGATATTTCTTAAGTACTAGTATATTATCTAATAGAAACTAAGTTGTTGTGTATGTAAGTACATTAATTTGTGTGTGTGTGTTTATCCACAGGGCTGGGCCACTTGGGGCTAGCAGGCGAGTCCTCAGCAGCTTCCAGCGGTGATCTCACCCTGCCCTCTGTTACAGAGGCACTAAACACTGCTACCTGCTTATTTGACTGCATCACTACGAACCATTGTTACTTAGTCTGTAATTGAAACAATATGCAAGTCTGTGAACTTAAATGTTAGGAGGATATTGTAGCAAATTATTTATAATAATTGTCTGATGTCTAATGTTTCTGTAATATTATGTGTTCCGTATCTAATTAAGTATAATTGTTACTCCAGTATAAACTGTTACCGAACCAATGCAATGTAAACACTTCACCTAGTAGCTGATGGTGAACACAAATAAATTGGTGCTCTTGAGCGAGTCTATAAGGAGAATGAGAGTCAAGTTATTGTAAAAATGTTAGATATTAATAATATTTATAATGTAGATGTTGTTGATAGGATCCAGCAAAACCAAATGATTGGCGAAACGCCTAACTACTGCATTCCTTTAATAAATAACGCCATAACAGTCCAGGGTATCTCATACAGTGACCCGTATTTGTGTAGCTTTAACGTAAAGTGTAAGATGGCATCCCGAACGCCGGAGTATATGAACAAGTCTGATTACGCTTTTAAATCCCCCGTTTGTGTTATACGACATGAGCCTTGTAAGTCGCAACTAAACGAAAAGTCTGCTCATAATATTATATGCAAAACGAAATCTCGAATGATTTGTATTACTCACAAAGACAAGCCATCGAGGGAGTATCATGACAATAAAATTGGTGAAATAATTAGAGAATTTCCTAATGGTGATCTCACTTTCGATGCAATGTTGGAACTCACGAAAAATGAAGACCGAATGATAAAAGATATGAAGAAAGAGGAACTGGATAGTTGGGGTGTACCACGTCGCATGCGTCTCTGCGGCGGTGGCGAGAGCTCACTCAACGCCGCAAGCGGATGGGGCAGCCCGCCCGCTTCTAACAATACTGGTAAATATTGCTTACACCTTTAGTGGTATATGATATTGATAATGTACATTTTGTACAATGATTTGTGTCACAGACAGGCTTGTCTCACCTGTCTCCCGCTAGGCAATTCGATTCTAGCCTTTTCGGTTTGAATAGTGAGATATGGAAATTAAATTACACGGAGAAATTGTCATTCCTTCATTACAGTTTTCACTTAATCTCCTGGAAAAGCAATACATGCTGTTACTTTACAAGTTGACATACATTGTGTCGTTCATGTACATGGCGAGGCGATGATTATCACTTTCCATCACATGGGCCGTCAGTCTCTTTTTCATTCTAATTACATAAAAAATTGTACTCGTTTTAATCATATGTATTTAAAATAATATCTACCTAAATGTTTTGTTTCTCGTTTATTTTCCTTATCTGTTCACATTCCATCTCTATATCATATTTGTAGAGTTCCATATCTAGAGACAAAGTGTATGCTTGACTAAGAAATTTCTTAGTTAATTATATATGTAGTAAATTGATATAAGAGGGTATTTTTTTTTATCTGTTATGTATTTCTTTTATACCAGGGAATTGGGCTGGCAACTCCAGTGGCCAAACAAATAATTCATCTAATAATACTCAATGGAATAACTCGGCCCAACGCCCGCCTACTTCTCAAGCAGACAGTAAGTTTTAGAACTGTTATAATATTCACATGGTCGTTTCACCACACTTTAGAGTGTCAATTTAACAGAAATCTTATGTGTATGAAACTCGATATCTTCACAGAAACTGAATGGATTTTGATCATTTGGCAACATAGTATTTACTCCCGTAATGGTACCATGCGGATTTTGTGTGGTTTCCTAATTAGATTTTGTGTGGAACCAAATATACTTTTTTAAAAGTTACAACAATATGTAGTTCCATCCATCGGGCTTGTATATATGTTAGAAATGTTTCTTGCAGTGAACAGCAACAAAGGAAATGATAATCAAATGCCGCCTACCAGTGCAGCCTCGGCGCAGAATTGGCAAGGTTCCACACAAAACATGCCAAATTCTCAGTCCAATAACAATGGTGCACCTGCAAATAATGGTAAAATAAATTAAGCAATCTCTGTCTCTACACATACCTACCTATACATTTATAACTAAATAAAACAATTTTACATTATAATTTTTTTAGGCACTATTAATGCTGCAAATGGTGGCGCCAATCCTAATCCAACTGCAAATGCCAATGGACCCACAGTCGGCAATGGCAATAACGGTAACGCTATAACCGGATCGTCTGCTAAGATAGAACAGCTGAATTTCATGAGAGAAGTTTTGTACAGCCAAGATGGTTGGGGTGGTGTAAGTACCTTATGATTTGGTCATTACTTTAGTTTTAATTGTATAATATATAAAGCATTATTTTTTGTATATAACATTAATTTGTACTAAATATTTACAGCAACACGTTAATCAAGATACCAACTGGGACGTACCAGGGTCTCCTGAACCAGGTTCAAAGATCGAACCAACCGCGGGCGGTCCGCCGGCTTGGAAACCGAACGTAAATAACGGTGCTTTCCTCGGAACTGATCTTTGGGAAGCCAATTTAAGAAACGGTGGACAACCACCTCCTCAACCTGCGACCAAGACTCCATGGGGCCATACACCCACCACTAACATCGGTGGAACCTGGGGCGAAGACGACGACAACGCTGATTCAGCCAACGTTTGGACCGGACCACCTCCACCGCAACAGTGGCCGGCTGGACCTCCCCAGCATGCACAACAGTGGCCAGTTCAAAAGAAGGACGACTGGAACGCATGGGGCGAACCTCATAGGCCGGCAGATCCACGTCTCGACCCGCACCGCTCATCTGATCTACGTCAGCAGCCGTCAGACCCGCGCCACGACCTGCGCGGCGGAATCTCTGGCCGTCTCAATGGCGACATGTGGAGCCAACATCACCAGCACGGCGGCGGACCGAACAAGATGATGCCCAGTGGAGCCGTCAACCAGTGGAGTGCGCAGGGTCCTAAAGACCCGATAAAGGGTTCCGGATGGGAAGAGCCATCTCCACCGGCATCCAGACGTGCGGCTTCAGGATTCGACGACGGGACCTCACTGTGGGCCCAGCGAGCCGGTATGGGTGGTATGGCCGGACGCGGGGCCCCTCAGGGCCCGCCCGTGCAACAGCGGATCCCACCCACGCCGACCAAGCCAGACGGCGGCGTATGGGGCGCGCACGGCCAGCGCAACGGCACTTGGGAGGAACCACACACGCCTGCCTGGCCCGACCGCGAGGCACCCGCCTGGCCGGACGCAGCCTCCGGACCGGGACTCTGGTCGGTGCCCAAACCGAAGCCTAACGGACCCGGAGGATGGACAGAAGATATCGGAGAATGGGGTGGTCCAAAACCGCCACAGGCCGGTGGCCCTCTCGGGAAGCAACTCCCTAAAGAGATTGTATGGAGCAGCAAGCAATTTAGGTAATTGGAATGCTAAAAAATGGATTCCTATGGAAGTGATAGTCATAAGTCTGAATATAAAATATTCAAAATTTATACTATCATCCATGGTAATATTGTGTCATTGTGCTATTGCATGTTTTTAATATGTTTAAGAATGTTATTATCTCATTCTATATCCCTGATTCACTATTTTTAGATTATTGGTGGAGATGGGTTTCAAAAAAGAAGATGCAGAAGCCGCGTTGCGTAGCCGTGATATGAATGCCGAAGAGGCTTTGGAAATGCTGACCAATGCTCGTGGAGAACAGTGGAGGAGAGATGACCAGTTTGGTGGGCATCATGGGCCTTTCCAACCTCCACCGAGTGTACCAACCGTTTCGCCAGCTGTCGTGCAGAAGTTACTTAACCAACCGCCTCCTCAGACTGTGCAACATCATCACTCATATCCTAACAGGTAATATTTATTATGATGTGATATTACACAAACAATGGAATTTGCCTTTGACTTTTTGTCTATCTTGTTTCCTTTATTGATATCCAGTTATCTGTTGTCCAACTTTTGTCAAAAGGCCCTAAATAATTTTAGTTCATAATTGAGTTGAAACTTTTATCTATCTTAAGTCTTCAATAACTACATTAATATATTACTATAAATGTGTAATGCTAGTGAATAAATTTTATGACCTAATAAATGAATGAACGAAAAATGTCTATGCGGTTAATTTAAATGAGGTCGAAGTGGGAGCGAGAGGTATATCAGCGGAATCCCTGCAATCTTCTAAAATATATTGGCATTGGCATGGCAGTAAATTCTATACTAGAACGTGTATCTAAAGCTGCACTAGCAGTCTCCTACAAAATTTGGCTGTGCAGGGAAGAAACACGAGAGTTGAAGTTGAGGCTCCTTAAACCTACACCCTATTTCATGTACCCGGCACCCGCACTGTAAATCCATAAAATGCTAAGAAGTTTGTCACTTAACTTAAGATCAATAAAGAGATCATTAGATTGACATTTCCATCCCTTTCCTATCCTTTTCGTTTATCTATGTTTACCTACATAGAATTTATAGTAAATATTTTTTTTATAGTGGTTCTGGCAGTGGTCAGCCAAGTGCTGCGCAACTGCGTATGCTAGTGCAGCAAATACAAATGGCAGTATCAGCTGGATATCTCAACCACCAGATTCTGAATCAGCCACTGGCCTCGCAGACACTTGTGCTGTTAAACCAGCTGTTGCAACAAGTAAGTGCAGACAAAATTAAAGCACGTTTATTTTTAATTTGTATGATAATAAGGTATGTCAATCTAATAGAAAAGAATATACTTCATAATTTCAATTTATTTCCAGATTAAAGTGCTTCAGCAGTTGCAACAGAGCTCGCATACTATGACTAAAGGAAATTCAACACTTGCATTGCAGTACTCAATGCAAATATCTAAGGCAAAACAACAAATTGCTGCTCTGCAGGTAACTTTTAGTATTTGCATATGATATACATATATATATGATGATAGCAAGCAACTTATCCTTGCACCTTATAAGATTATCAACTAAGAAGTTAGTGAAGAAACTGGTGAAACCAGTGACTTTGCTTTAAATTATAATGACAATTAAAATTTATGTCGGTTCAAAGCCTGTCTAAGAATGTCTTCCCTTTAATTTTCTTAAAATATTAGTGGATGTTTGTGGACTTCACAGCATATTTCCTACTTGACATAGTCTCTTATATGCGTTTTGTTTACAGAATCAAATAGCTACGCAACAGGCCCTGTTCATGAAGCAACAGGCTGGCGGTGGGGATCTGTTCAAACCCACGCATGATCCTTTAGCTCAATTGCAGAATAATTTCAGCGATATGAGCATTACTAAGGATTCACAAGCGGTAATTATATATAACTTATTTATTTATAATAGATTTTTTAAAATGACTTTCTATATAAGGTAATTTATAAACTAATTGTGACTGACCATGTTGGTAATGCAAAATATTGATAAAAATAATAATAGGGACGATATGTGATGTTTCACAGCATTTTTTTTTTATTATATGTTGACTTTTTTCACGTGACGTACATTCTGCGAAAGTTGCGTTCTTATTGCCGTCATTATGTGAATTCTTACCACAAAGTCAGTTGCATTGTCACCATTTTCTGATATATATTATATTATTAAAGATAGAATTTGTTTATTGTTAGTTGTTGGAATATTAATGATTAAAATAATTTGTTTAGTCTTATGGTGCGAGTGGCAACCAACAATCACGTCTCAATCAGTGGAAATTGCCATCCCTGGATAAAGATGGCGAAGGTTCTGAGTTCAGCCGTGCTCCTGGAACTGCCAAGTCTACTACCAGCCCACAACTGAACCAACTCAGTCTACAACCTGACTCGTAAGTATAATAGCAATCAACTCACACACAAGTCACATTTATTCACAGTTTTTTTTCGAATATATGGCATATACTACAGTAATTTCAGTAGCCGGGATTGTTGACACTTATATTCTTACCCTAGCATTGTACACATCAGTAGATTTTGGTACGCTACTGACACTAACAACATGTACTTGCATTTGAAACTTTATTGTTGAATATTTGTATAATTATCATATTTTATAACTGACTGGATTTATGACATGCTCTTAAAGTTGTTATCGGTTTTCTTATCTAATAATGTACCTTATATTTATTTTCATGGAACCACTCTAATGATATCGACGAAAATTTTTACTTTCAAGTATGTTTGTTTATTATATAAAATCACATATTGTTCGATAAAAAAAAGTTTAATCATGATTTTGGCAGTAAAATAGACTTAAAGCGAATTAAATTCTTGCGATTGCAAAGTAATAATCAAAATCGGTTCATATTTGGCAAAGTTTTTATCAAGCTTTGCCAATGAATTTGAAATCTTTGCCAGTTGAATTCAGAATTTTATTCTTTAAAAAATGTCATTTTTATTTTTAATTTAGTACATGGGGAGTTGGCCGCGGTGCCGAGGGATGGGGTGACAGCGGAGCGGACGTCGCAGACGGCAAGGACGCCTGGCCGACCCACACGCATCCGCCTGTATATGATTTGGTTCCTGAATTCGAACCTGGCAAGCCCTGGAAGGTAATGTCTTCTTTAGAACTGTTCTCTGTCGGCTATTTGTGAAAAATTCTAATTGCAAAATTTCATTGAACATATTATGGTTAATGTTATAGAACCTAGTTGAAGCATCAGTAATTGTGTAGAGGTTTAGATTCACTCATTTATTTAATATAAATAGTGAATTATATTGTGACAATACTTTTTTCTTAATTATGTAAAAACATTTACATTTGATTATTAAACATTCTTAGCCAAGGCCTTTCAAGGTTGTAAATAGCCTTTGTTTCCTTTCTATTCTCATTTATGGTTTTGGTCACTTTGTAACTATATATTTAAATTATATTATCAAATAACACAGTTACTTAACTAATATTAGCTATAAATGCATGCTATCGCTATTTCCACCTCATATCTGACTAACCTCTAATAAAAGGGCCCGTTTCGAACTCAAACTCAAAATATACAGGGCAACCAGATGAAGAGCACCGAGGAGGACCCGGCGATGACCCCGGGCTCGGTGGTGCGGTCGCCGCTGTCGCTGGCCGCCATCAAGGACTCGGACATGCTGGGCGGGAAGAGCTCCCCGCCCGGCGAGCGCCTGCTGTCGTCGTCGACGTGGAGCTACGCCCCGCCGGCCACCAGCGCGGGCGCCGCCGCCGCCGGCTCCAAGCCGCCCGCCGACGCGTGGGGCGGCGCCAAGCCGCGCCCCGCGCCGCCCGGCCTCAACAAGCCCTGGCCGCACCACGCGCCCCCGCCGCGCACGCACACCTGGCAGGCCTCCACTTGGCTCCTGCTCAAGAACCTCACCGCGCAGGTACGTGCCTCCTTATACCCACATGCTGTCCTTCATTTCTCTCACTTTATCGGGACAAAAAAAATACAAGATTTACCGAAAGGCTCAGTCTTGTCAATCTCGTCCTCGATTGTTTTAGTTGGGTGGACATATGTTTCGGTAAAAAATAACATGTACATATCTATTTCTGTAAATTGATATTAAAAAAAATGTAACTACTTCGATGTCTTACATGTTTTCTTTGGTTACAGATCGACGGATCTACCTTGAAAACGCTCTGCGTACAACACGGTCCCTTGCAAAACTTCCACTTGTATTTGAACCAGGGATTCGCTCTCGCCCGCTACTCTACTCGCGAGGAGGCGGCTAAGGTACAGTAATTTGAATCTTTTTTATATTAATTCTACTACTACTACCATCCCGTAGTTAGCCATTAAAATAAACAAGGACACTGTAAACAATGTCAGCCATATCGCTTCCTTTACTTTTTGTAATTGACTTCATATTTTTACTTCATTGTGAAAAATAGGTTAAGCTTAATATTAATTTTAATAGTTCATAAGATATAGTACAGTCACGAGATCGTTTAAAATAGTCTATTATATCAGGTAACATAACATAGGGTATGATTGAATGTGAAATGTCCGGTTGCGCAGGCCCAGATGGCGCTAAACAACTGCGTACTTAGCAACACGACCATCTTCGCGGAGTCGCCGGCGGAGTCGGAGGTGCAGATGATACTGCAGCACCTGGGCAACGGCGGCGGCGGCGGCTGGCGCGGCGGCGGCGGCAAGGACAGCTGGGGCGCCTTCCCCGGCCTGTGGCCCGACCAGCACGAGCAGCGCGCCACGCCCTCCTCGCTCAACTCGTTCCTGCCGCCCGACCTGCTCGGCGGCGAGTCCATCTAAGTACCTCCACAGCTCACCCCGCGCCGCCCTACGACGCCCCACGTCTGCGACTCGGAACTCGTAAACCGAACGATCGCCGCGCGGCATCCAGCTCTGTGGCGGGAAAGTGGCTCCCCTACGAATTTCATCTCGTTCGAATCGGTGACACACTGACGGTGAAGATTGGACGAGTCGCGATTTCCGAATCGAATGTGGTACGTGTTAAGTTGTAATTACGCTTTATCGTCCCCCGTACGGGGATAGACTAATTTTATTCGCCTAGTCAGATCGTGACGGACGGACGCGTTGCGTCGCGTCACGGCGCGATCGCGATAGCCAACTGTCCACGATACTTATTATCCACTGTGTTGTAAGTGTTCAGCTTAGTGTATTTTAGTGTACATAAAATTATACATATACAAATCCAGACATATAATGTGTAACGAATTGTGTATTATTTAATAATATAATAGTAGTAGGTGAGGATGGCTCGTGGCTCGGCGGACGCCGTCGCGAGTGTAACACGCGGCCGCGTGCGCCGCTCGTCCGCCATCGTACGACTATTCGTATTTGTATTCGTATTCGATTTAATGGACGAACGCAACGGTTCGCTCCTTTAAACCTACCAAATAATAATAGCTGTCGAAGTAGAGTAGTTGCGTCGCGGGCTACCTCAGTCACTCGTCCCGTGGCCTTATTTTAGTCTGTATTTATTTTGTTGCGCTCGTGGGCTGTTGTTGTTTCGCCCGTCGAGCGATTCGTTTCGATTTTCTTTGGAGTCGTTTTTATTAATTATATCGTTTTCTCCATACTGATGTATTATAAATATTATTTATTCTGTTTTTGAATTCTCACTCGTAATGAGCTTTTCGTTTTCCATTAGTGATATTTTTATCCAGCAATAAAGGACACGTAAACAAGTGCATTTTTGGTGAGTTTATAATAATAACAAAATTGAAAATAATGAGATTTAAAGTGCATTCTTGTAGTGGTAAATTACTTTTAAGCCGTATAGTCTGAGGTGGAAATAAGTATATACAAATATACGTTGGGAGCGTGCGGCGCCGGCGCTCGCGCACATGTCCGCGATGGTAGATGGTAGCGGTGGTAGCGGTGGTAGCGAGGCCGCGAGTACGGGGCGGGGCGCGCTCCATTGCAATCCAGTAATCCTGTGATGTATAATATCTTGCCTAATATAAGAATAATCTATTTTGTTGGAGAGTATCATATTAGAGCGAGTTGCCGGTAGTCGGCCTCCGTTGATGCTGATGTTTCCCCAAATTATTTCCAGTATTTGTGATTCAAGTGCCACTTTATGTTTAATATATGAATCGATTATCTAGAATATACGATTAATGTAAGGGTATTCTAATATATTAAATTGAAAATTGTTTTATCATTTTATATTACATACATTTGTGAGACGTCTTCTTATAAATAAAATAATAAAGCTATGACCGTAATTTAAAATATTACACTTTTGTGTATAGGTAAGGATAAAGTTCTAACTTAAATTTAGCCATATCATATCTATTTAATAAAAGATTTGTGGTATTTTCTATAGGCTCAATTTAAACGTTATTGAAAGCGACATGCTTTAGATATTCTGTTAATAATATACTTGTAGTAAGTAGTAGGATCTGTGTCGGTATTATAATACTTCAAGATAGTTATAAGTTATACTAGGAGCCCTATTATAGGTTTATATAAGCATACTACTTAAAATATATGGCAACGATGACATGAATGTTATATGATAAAAGTTTATTTACATTTTTATTTACTTTTAATTTATTAATGGTGTGCCACAGAGATACTCTGCCAAAATTAATCATTACCATATATTACGGGATTAGCTAAGACGAGGCGAGGTGTCGGTTAGGTCGCATAGGGGTTTAGGTCTCGACTGTGTGGAGCGAGACTGAAATAGCTGATGGTAGGTAGTAGAGAGAGAGAGGGAGAGAGCGACCACCGCCTCGCCTCCGCCCCTGACGAGAGACTCCGGGCTCCGGCCCATGACCGTCGACGACGGACCCACCACGCTTTACGATCACCACGATCGATCACACAAAGCGAATGACTATTATAATAATGTGTACATTATCTTATCGCGTACATCTTCCAGTGATCTTACAATTAATGTTAATCATTTAGTACTAAGTTAGGTGTTTAAGTAATTGCTGTACCTTGTCGAGCCTCACGCTCGAAACTCTTCACAAACTAAAATATTAAGTTGGGTTATGCTTTCTGATAGCTTCGGACCTGTAGTTATAGTATTAAATGTTTCGATGTATGATGTGTTCAATTAGAAAGAAATTTAACAATTCTCATTACTACATTTATACCTTACATAATAGGGACCGATGAAGAGTAATAACGTGTCTCTTTCCACGAATTGCATATTGTTTGTTGCCTTTTATTGTAATACAAATTACAACCACGAATTTAGTTAATGTGTAACTATGTCATTCCTAGTAGGTAAAGTTGTTGTCAAATTAATGTTACTCGAACCACTGTAAAGGCACGTTATGATATGCAATCACACCGACTTGATTTCGCCTTTGATGGGGCCATAATTATTAATTAGATTGCCAAAGAGTGATTATCAAAGATAGGTGTCTGGACTGGAACAACATGGTGTCTTTGTTTAGTGGCATTTCTTCCAAATTAATTAAAAATTGTTTAATATTGGTACGGGTAATGATCTGATGTTCCTAAAACATTCGTGTTAATGTCTATACAACAATAGTTGCGGTAACTAAAGTGTCAATTCTATTGTTGTCGAGCTCAATTTAAGCAAGGATGTTTCTTTTATCTGTTATAATATAAAAAAAGATGTATTTTATCTGATATTGTTCTGTCCACGTCTATACCAACATTAGAGAAAATGCCTCGAAAGCAGTGATTTACTCGTGATTATCTGAATTTTAATAATTACGCAGCAATAAAATAAAGAGAAAATATATATTAATTTTTATAACATTTTTTCAATTTTTAAAATTAGACAAGCCAAGTTAACGGAAAGTATAATGATCCTGTGCCCTGTTTAGAATACGTTGTCCATAGATTATATACGAAAGAAGTCTTTGCCTTGAGAGTTTTTTAGTCGATATAAAGTAAACAGTACTTAAATATGATATTGTAATGGGGACATAATTGTAGGTGTTGTGGTATAATGGTGTTAGGTGTCAGGAGAGCCGGGCGGCTGCGAGGGCCGTCGGGCGCGAGCGGACATCAAGGTTGTGAGAGGCGGCACGCGCCGTCGCGTTTACTGAATCTCCTCTCGGTTCAATGACTGCGTCATTATTTCCTGCACACAATTGCGCCATGTGCAATTTAGTCTGTGTTATTATTATGTTGTTGTATATTTATATCCTACGTCTAAACTGTAATATGTATATATTGTGAGATTTATATTCATAAAAGAAGATTTAATACGCTTCACGCTTTCACTTTTAACATTTTCTTGTGACTTGTTTGTTATTTAGAATAAATTTACGTACCTAAAAGTAATTATAATAATTATCATAGGTGTATATGTAAGGACACAATTATAATTATAAAAAATAAAAATAAAAAAAAAAACGAAAAAAAAGAAAAGCAATTAAAAGAAACCAATGATTGTGCCTCAATGAACTGTGGTACGTTACCGTAACCAATGGCAGGTGTAATCGTTTCCTTCAAAAAATTTATTATAATGAATTGTGCGCTAGGCACCGCGCGAGCGCTCGTGACTAGCTGTAGACAATATAAGGCTGCGAGCGGCGGCCCGCGCCCATGCCTTGTGTAATCATCAATGAGCTTAGCTGTGTTTTACTTTTATTGTAAGTGTTATGTCATCAATCAACATTTTATATGATGTACCTACATATGTGTGTAAATATTTTTTTATATTTATTTCGGTTTTCAATGAAGTTTACCCGTGTTGACGTGTAACTTGTGTTGCTTTTATCATTGGATTCGTTTTACAATAATCACGTGAGTCGTGCGAACTGAAATGTTAACTTGCAATATACCTATAAACACTCGAATGCCAAAGTCGATGTCTGATTGCCATCAACGACAATTAATGTTCTAAGATAACGTGCGTAGATCTCGACATCACAACAAATTTTTGATCGTACAAATGGGAGCCATTATATTAAACAGCTATCGTTAAGGTCGTTGTTCTATCCAAGCTGCTCTGGTATAATTTAGCTCAAGTATTGAAATACATAGTAGTTTGCTCATAATATTGTTGTTAATTTTAATTTTTTATTATCTTAAGACAGTCGACATACCAGTTCAGTACAGGACCAGTTTTTATTAGTAGACATTGTTACTTGCCTTAATCTACAATTGTTTGTATGTTCATGTAAATCTATATCACAATTTATAAAGTGCATAATATGACCATACCAAATGACATTATTTTTTTTATTATACTGACATGAGTACTGAACTAGTAAGTCCTGAACACTAATAAATTAATGTTTTCTCTTCGTTTTGTAGTGAAATCCTATAAATATTTTGTAATCGCCAATTTAGCTTTTAATGTTCTTGATTAATTATAATGGACCATAAACGTTATTGAGACGTTATTGGTCAATAGATAACACCGCCTAAATAACGTGATACATATTAGGCGAATACAAACCTGCCTGTACCACACCAGTCACTCGAACCCAACTGTGTTCCTACCGTGCATTTAAAATCAGAAAACAAAAGTATTATCAATGCATCTTGCTATCGAAAAAACCGATTAAATAATGCAATAATTTGGGTGGGTGTGGCTCTAGGCAGGTTCCTAGGGATCTAATGACGTCACTTTACATCACTCTTAATAGGGTTCGCTTTCAATAACTCGCCAAGTTTTATAGGTCTCTCGCGTTGTAGGCGTAACAATAGCTGACTCGCACATTTTCGCCGGCGGGTTATACAAAGCGAATCCTTGTGTAAAGTGTTTACACGCTCTGTTCAGTGTTTCATTTCGTCTTTCTAACGTTTACTTAATACTCTTGAACACTAATAAGTCAGCACACGTTACTTATTTCTAGACTATTCTCGGATATAGGGACCAAAATATTTATTATTATAGTTTTTCACCAATTTCCCACAAGCCGAATTGACCCGTACTAAAAGACATTGATTTTTCCATTGTTGATAACGTTTTGCCGTCGCATAAATCTTAATTACGAAGTTATTACGGTAGTGATATATAGTGTACATACAATATATTCATGTGGGCCTTTTAATTTAAAATATTTAAGGTTAAAGTTTTGCTTGTTGTCTTTATTTATATATATTTTTGTACGTTACGACGTTGACGTCCTAATACAATAGAACACATTAGGTGATATCTACAAAGAAACTAGTCTTCCTTATTTACGGATTGTGGCGGAGATGCGACGTCAGCACAAGAGGCAATCATTCCTCTAGTCTTGTTATGTGGTGCGGTTAAGTGAATACCAAATATAAAATAACGAAGGCTTTCATGTAGTGTAGAGGTTA